TCGTGGTGGTTGCCGGAGATGTGAATGCACAAGTGGACAGGCTTGGTGCATCTGAGACTCAATTAGGAGGTCGATATGGATTGGACTTGTTACGTACGGACAGTGGGGAACAATTGCTTCAGTTGTGTGCTCATCGCAGACTGTTTTTATGCAGCACTAACTTCCGGAATAGCCGAAGTCGCCTGGCCACATGGTGTCCTCCAACGGCATGCCAGCCACAGACTCAAATCGGCCACATTGCCCTCAGTTACCGATGGCGCGGATCAACAACTGGCTGCTGGTCGTTTTGGAACACATTTGTGGATTCCGACCGCACGCTCGTGCGGGGTCGTTTCTCTTTATGTTTTTCAGAACCGTGTAAGGTGCGGACAAATCGCTTGGCAACTGAAAGACTGGCAGATTCTGATGTTAGACGAACTTACCAGAATCGCCCTCTAGCCTCCTCCAGCTGCCCCGCCATCAGATATTGGAACGAGATTACCACCTATTTGCACAGTGATGGGTGTTTCGCCTGTGGCATGGCACCACCAGGCTCACTCAAGCACTGGGTATCAGACCGAACGATGGCACTGCTTAAATCTCGGAGAAATATCCCAGCCAGTCCCAAACATAACTTGATGCGACCAACCATCAGACTTCAAGTGAAGGTGAGCGTGCAAGCCGACCCTGAAGTGTGGTGTACACAGAAAGCCAAATAAATAGAAGAGGCCCTGAAAGTCGGTAATGCCCGAAGATTATTTCAGTTAATCCGTGTGACCGGTCTATGGAAACCACCTGTGAGCGAAACCATCAAGGATCGGTTTGGAGTGAATATCTCGAATAAAGAAGAATGCCTCAACCGATGGGCCGAATACTTCGAACAACAATTGTCCTGGCCACGAGCTGGCACCCATCTGGAGCCCACAGGTGACGTAGAACCCTGGACGGTGAACGTGGAACCTCCTACGGCCCCGGAGTACGGCAGTGAAGCATCGTTGTTGAACACGGATGTCATGCTGTCGATGATGATGATGATAAGGCCTCAGAGGTTTATGATTACATATGTTCTCTCAAGCGCCACGGAGCCTCTGGTCCGGATTATCTCCCACCCGTATTGTTCAGAGATGGGGTGAAGTCCTCAGTCAGCGCTTGTCTGATCTGTTTGCTTGCATTTGGGAAAAGAAGTCTGTTCCAGACAACTGGGGAGAGTCAGTGATAGTGCTCATTTTCAAAGAAGGGGCTCTAAGTGAGTGTGGCAACCACAGGTAGTCAGCTTGTGCCCAGTCGTAACGAGACCCCGTTGGCGTCACCGGTGGCTCGCGAAACGCTGACTAAAGAGCAGCAAGCGGGATTCCGGCCTGATAGGGGTTGCGTTGACGAAACCTTCACACTCCGTCAGGTGCTAGAACAACGCCATACGTATAAGCGACCCACGATTCTAGTATTCCTGGATTTCCGAGGCGCATTCGACTCGGTTGATCGGTCTGTTCTTCTTGAGACGCTTGCCCACCAAGGAATGCCCCGGAAGTTTGTAAACATAATACGTTCTTTGTATTCTCAGACTTCCGGACGTGTGAGAGTGTACGGAGAGCTCTCCAAAAGCTTCCGCACACAAAGCGGTGTCCGTCAGGGANGAAGAAAACTTTATCGATCTGGAATATGCAGACGACATCGTTCTCATGTTCGAAGAGGAGGAGAAGGCGCAAGTATTCTTGGATGAGCTGACTAAAGTCATCCCGTCCTTTGGAATGCACTGTGTAAGGTCACGTTGCTGGACATGTAGTCACTGAGCACGCCATTTACAATCCAGGGAGGGGAACTGGAAGTTGTGTAACATTTTACGTATCTCGGGAGTTATATTAGTTCTGATTTTAGTGTGACAGCTGACGTCAATGCACGAATCTGTAAGGCTCGGGTCGTGTTTGCCAATTTGAGACACCTATGGCGTCAAAATGGTGTATCCGTGAATCTCAAGGGACGCGTGTATCAAGTTACAGTGTGGACTGTTTTGCTGTATGGCTGTGAAAATTGGCCTGTTCGAGCAGCGGAACTGAGACGCCTTCAGGTGTTCGGCAGTCGTTGTCTCAGAACCATAGCTCGTGTGGGTTTGTGTCGACGAATCCGTAACGAGGCGATCAGGAAGCAGGTTTTGGGTGTGCAACGGGTAATTCCAGTGAAGAATGTGTCCAGCACCAGAAGCTGCGTTGGTTGAGACATGTGTTGCGTATGCCTAGCCATCGTTTGCCGTAGAGAGTGCTGTTTTCCATGCCCAACTCAGAGTGGCGGAAGTAGAGAGGTGGCCAGCTCTTCGCCTGGCAGAGAGGTACGAAAGAAATCATGAAACGCTTACGTGCTGTCGGTTCTACGCGCCTTCCAGGAAGGGGACCGCGTGATCCTCACTGTGCCTGGCTGGAGATGCTGCAAGATATGGCTTCTAACCGATGTCAGTAGCAATCTTGTTGTCAGTTTCTATCCAGATTGCCTGAATCAGTGTTTGGAGGTGTAGGCACCTCGGAATGATTGTAGTAAGCTAGGACGAATTCCCTTACCTGTCCACCTGTGTTTTCTTCACAATAAGGCTTTCAAATAAACCGTAGTTATGCGGCAGCGAAGCATCGGTGTTGAACACTGATGTCATGCTCTCGATGATGATGATGTTGAATGGGGAGCAACTTCCTCAGTTGTGTGCAGATCATCGTCTGTTCCTGGCTAGTACGAACTTCCAGCACAAAACTCACGTCGAGTTCTTTGGAGACCACCAACCCGGTGATGGAGTGAACACTTAAAAAGACAGTGCAGCTGGTCTCCTTCAACACAACCGCTGGAAGAACCCAGTGAGTCTGAGTGGAACATCGACGCCAACCGACCATGAGCAACCGGGATCCAACGTATGATATCAATCCTGAAGCGCGATAAGGAACCTGGCCCCGATGGTCTACAGCCCGCACCCTTCAAAGAATCTGACGATGTCCCGATAAACAGTTTGACAACCATACTGCAGGGAATTTGGAAAACAGAATACCAGTCGAATGGAGCTCCTCGACTGTAAAAGGGCGCAAGAATGCCATGTGAAAACCAGTATGATATCGGCCTGGTATCCGTCGCATCTAAGGTTCTCTCTGGCATCATTTTGTGCAGGTTGATGGATTATTAAGAGAGACAAATCTGTGAAAATCAAGCTGGGTTTCACCCTGGCCGAAGATGCATCGACCTTGAGGCAATTTCTTGCACAGTACCACTTATTCAGACATACCACGTTGATCGTTCTTCTTTATCTGAAAGCCGCTTTCGATGTTGTCGATCGTCAGAAACTTTGGCGGTGTCTGGCAATCAAAGGTGCCCCTTCCAAATTTATACGCCTTATGAGGGCACCGTGTGCGAACTCTTGTGGGCGCGTACGGGTACACGGCCAGCTCTCGCCTGAGTTCACCACGTCCAGTTGTGTAGGACAAGGCTGTCGTCTCTCACCTTTCTTGTTCAACTTTGTTATTGGTATGCTACTTGAAATCTCTCCGACTGCCTCTGAAACCTCGGGAGTCGTAATGCTCACGGGACGTTCGCAGACGATATTGCGGTCTTCTGTTCAGATCCTTTCCAAATGCAGACGATTTTCAATAACCTGAATAATTCTGCGCTTCACACCTGCAAAGTGTAGAGTGCTGCTACAAGACTAGGTGGGATCATACCCACACCTCATGCTTGCAGGTGAAAAGAGAAGAAAGCGTTCAGCTGTAGCACCCTTCCGGTGCTTAGCTGCCATGCCACCCGAAGGAAGCACGAGGACTGGGATACTGCCAGGTTGCCCAAGCCTAGACAGTGGAAGTCGAGAGGCGGAGGTCGGATTCGAACGGCGGACCTTCCGGACAGTTCTCTCTCGCTCTAACCACTTGGGACATCTCGCCCCCAAGACATGGGGGACGCGGTAGATAAATTTGTTTACCTGGGCAGTTGTATAAGTTCCGATGGACTGGCTAGAAATGAGATCACTTCTCGAATCGGGAAGGACAGGGTAGCTTTTGCTCACCTCCGACACCTATGACGCTGATGTGACGCCAGTTTGTCTGTCAAAGGCTGTGTTTACACTGCGGCGGATGGCTTAGTGGTTTGAGCGCGGATTTACTGACCGGAGGGTCCGTGGTTCAAACCCGATCTCTTCCTCTCGACTTCCCCTGTCTAAGCTGGGGTAGCCTAGCAGTACCTAGCACTTGTGTTTCCTTCTGGTGGCGTGGCAGGTAGCCGCTGAAAGGGTAATTTTTGTTCGAATAGATTTCATCTCGACACAACTTTTGCGATTAGGTTGTTTGGTGGTACCCAGATGGACATATCCTGCAACCTGTTGGTCTCCGTTTTGAAGTTTTGACAGTATCGCCGTTGCGTTTTCTTCGTCAAGCTAGCTTAGGACAGCATAATTGATTCTATGCGAGTGTCCTTGGACCGACCTGGTTTAACCCGAATGAGCCTCTCGACTAAAGCTGCTGGACATATCCTGGTTTAGTTCTGTATTGATATTCACTCGTCAGATTGCTCCTCACCTAAACTTTATTGATCTCCATGTCCTGTCTTTCCTCCTCAGTCATCAGCACTTGCTCATAAAGCACCAGTTACCGAAACCGGTCACACTTCGTTTGCTTGTCTCTCCCGGTGGAGATGTGTTCAAGGTAAGTCCATGTGTTTTTCATCGTTTCATAGCCCTTAATGTCCCCACAGCGTGCACTTTTTTTTGGGTACAGTGATTAAGCCCTAGACCGGTGGTAGACTGACATATTAGAACCCTAGTCTTTAGATTAATTTATCTTCTTTTCCATTGTACATGGGCATTTTCGAGCCCGGTTGTGACATCATACTTAGCTTAGCCGTTCGGAAGGATGGTTGAGTCGAGATATCTGTTTAGTGTAAAAGGTTCGTCGGAGTTGAGTGCTGGTGGAACAAAGACTTGGGTTTCTGAGGGATTTGTCTCAAGGTCGACAGAAGAGGTGCACTGAGAGATTCGATTGAAGGCCTGCCGTAGACGATGGTGATCTGCTGCGATGACAACTATGTCATTCGCGATTTCGAGAGTTGCAGACTGGCCGCCATACTCACTGACAGTTCTGTCGTTGCCCCGTAGCAAGACCTAAACAGCTTGGTAATTTTGTCCGATTTGGATATGTTCCGGTTCACAGGGTGGAACGCCGTCCGGAATTTGTTGAAGCCTTAGCCATTGCGGCCTCACTCAATGTATCACCTGGTTTAGGGTATCCGAATCCATGGTGTTGTGAATAGCTCTTATAAATATTCTACGCGTCCCGCGAACTCCTCATAGATATGCTTCCAGGACGATAAAATAATTTTGTGTGTTCTGTATCTCACGACAACTTCCCTTGTGTGTTGGTCCTTCGATTTAGCTTACCGACGAACGAGGTTACCTTCTCACTGGACCCCACAGTGTCTGCATACCACCCGGTCTTGAATATCCTGTCCACGTGGCCTATGTAGCTCGTCAACCTCTGGCCTGGGATACTGGACAGCTCCGCTTGTCGATCGAGGACGACTCTACGAAGTCCACGTGGAAGGTTTGTTATACTTCACCACAAAGTGTGCCTTTTTTCCGATTTCTCTGGGTATACGACCAAATCTATTTTAAGCCATCATCTATCTATGCTCGAGATGGCTCAATGGTTAAGGTGCGAATTTACTGACCGGAAGGTCGCTATTTCGAACCCAAAGTTCGCATCTAAACTTGGGCGACCTGGCAGTATATCAGTCCTCGTGCTTCCTCTGGGTGGTATGGCAGCTAAATAATAAAGGGTGTTAAAGATGAACGATGCTGACGCACGTTGATCGGTAGCTGGTTCACATAAAGCGGTGCTCCCCGAGTTCGCACTCCTTAACCTCAGATCCAGAAACAAAGCACGCTCGCCTAGAGCAGCTCATTGCCAGGTTGGCTAAACCCACTCGATAGTAATTGAGGAGTAAGGGCTGTATTCGAACAGCACGTTCGAATAAATATCCAGGGAGATTTTTGCAGAGGCCAAACAGTGTGATTCGAAAGCCTGCGTTTCAAGGGTCCCTCGTTCATTAAAATTCTGGTTCGACGTTATGAAACCTTTTGTACGGCTCTTAATAAAGCCGAAGTATGTGACCCATTCACCGAAACCTGAAGGATAGACTTCCTTGCAAAACCTACTTCCTCCTGGAAAAGAATGAGTTGGCCCCAAGAATATCCCTGCTACTCATGAAGCACGATAGGCAGCAAGGCCCTTGCCGGTCTGTTCCTGGGAAGACAAGTGTGTCAATCGGGAAACTAGGCAGCTTTCCTCACGAATATCTGAAGATATTCCGGCGAGTTTTCTCAGGACTAGTGTGCTGTTGAGTTCGATTTTGGCCTGAATACTGGAACAGATGCGATCAGACGCATGCGAGTACGTATTTGCACGCCTCAGCTCTGTATTCAGAAATTTTCATGATTCTCGAACCCCGTGTCATTTTAGGCGAGCACTGTAACCCTTTGTTGTTGATTTTTAGCTTCTCTGTAGATTGATTTCCTCTGTCCCTTATGTGTATCACCATCATCAGCTGTAAGAACCGCGTACTTGTCGTGCAGTGGCTGTAGCTGCAACAGTTTTGTTCGCCGATGATTTGTGGAGGCAGGTAGGTAGCTACGTATTAGGGGCGGCAGCTGATATAATTGATACGTGGATACGGGGATCGGTGGACTTTTCATGGGGGAAATAGGGAACGGAGCGCCATGGGGGTCGTGACTGGGCCATGTCTCCAACCGTTGATATGTCTCGTCTCGGGGTCCCCATCCCTGGAGGCGACAATGGCCAGCGCAGCTGAGTTTGCTGGCAATTGTTTTCATACTTCGCTGCTAAATCATTGTTTCGACCATGGCCAGCGCAGCTGAGTTTGCTGGCAATCGTTTTCATACTTCGCTGCTAAATCATCGTTTCGAACCCTCTTGCTCGTTTCCACCCTTCATGTGGTTGTGTGGAAAGTGCTTTTCGAAGAAGTCGGCCAACTGATGTACAGAGCAGGTGATCAGGCCAGCGCAGCCTTTGGAGTGTGATCATCTCATTCATCTCCATCCTTCCGAAAACCATCGGACGTACTCACCATTACTAATCCGGTGTTCCCACCAGACTCGGGCAACGCTCCGAAGACACTGGTGGTCAATACTGAAATTTTTTTGTCCTCAACGCACTGCTGCCATGCGTATCGGAGAGTTTGGGAAAGCAATATCAAAACGCCTGCCTTTGTTCTTACTGTAATGTTCTCAATGAGACCATTGGAAGTCCGCAGATAATTTTTCCTGTCGTGTTGTTTCGGTAGAGCACCAAGGATGAGCACAACATGGGGAATCATTTCGATGGCGATCAGGAGGGGACTTCATCAATTCTCCTACCGCTTGCACTTTCAGTTTTCTCTCACAGACCTGACCACCAGAGCCAATCTATTTGCCCAGTTCCATCCGAGTATGCTTTTCATGCTAATCGATTGCTTATGGGGCTTCATCGAAAAAATAGTTTAGAGATAGTGTTCCCACTGTGTTTCGTTCCTAGGTACGGCTGATTGGCTATTCGAGCAGTTCTCAGTTGGAGTGTTGTTGCTGCACCCGTTTGAATTCCGAAATCTATTGGACCACAGCAACTCCACTTTCGAATCGCAAAGCCCACAGAAAGTCTTCCAGCTTCGGGTTGAATATAGACCCTCCAGCCGTCTTATCTCCGACGGCGATGGCAACGAAAGGCACGTCAGTCGCCTGCGTTGTTCTCACGAATTTCGGCCTTCGAGCTGCATGGATTCTGTGCAGTGTCGAACCTCGCGAAACGTGCAGACAGGTATCGAATGACAAAGCTGTGGAAATGGCGACAGGTGCTCTGGTTGAACCGAGTCGCATGGTCATTGGTCCCAGACAGTCACAGGTGGGTTTGTTCAATATAAGCTTACTTTTGGATAGTTTTTGGATTTGTGTTTGACACTCGGTCTTATTGTGGTCCCTTCGATTTTTTTTGCCACCCAGCACCAACGGGACCTTTCTATTTAACTACAGTTTTCTGTAATCGGAGATGCCCCCATGTCTTCCACTTTGTTTTAGTAATTTATAGTGTCTGCCAAGCAGAATGAATGTTAGTTTGATATGTTTTTCTCCCTTCTCATATATCTTCATTTTCAGAAGATTGTGATCACAATGCAACCGGGTGTGGAGTCGGCCCGTGTGACCTTCTTCTACGGCGACGAAGTGCTTCGTCACCAAGTTCGACAACAGTGAGTAGCATCTCTATCTATTGGTCTCTTTACAAACCGCATTACCTTGATCTTAACTCGTTTGCGCTTCTATTTCTTACAGCTACATCAGACCGCCAAAGTCTGTCGCACGACGACGAATCGGAAGGCACGTTAAGGTGATCGATCTAATGGAGGATTTTACAAACGAGATTCCGTTTCAAATAAGTATGTCAAGTCTACATGTTTCTTTTTTACACTTTACCTCGGTAAAAGGTTACGCTTAGTCACGCACCCCAATCTTCAATTTATTCCCGCTATCTTCTCTACTATCGTTTGAGAACCTCGGTATTGTGACACTATTCAGTTGAATAGCAAAAGCCAGTAAAACCAAGGTACACACAAGCTGGAGATAGCTCAGTGTTGAGGCGCAAACCTACTTACCACAATGTCCATAGTTCGAACCCAATCCAGGC